AGAAGGCATATTTGGAAGCAACGAAGAGGGAGCGCTTAGATGTAATACAAAGAGGCGGCGGAATCACCATGGTGGAGATGCGCGTGGCATAAGACCGATCTCTTGGAGTGACAGTGTCAATGAGCGGAAGACCGGAGCTAGAGTTTATGCGAAAAAGGAAGCAAAGGCCAGCTGCGAGTCTTCTAACTCACAAAAACTTCACGTTCGCCAGCTGACATCTCTGAGTATAAGAAATAATGGACGAAGCTTGAGAAAACAGTTTCCGGATAAAAACCCTCTGAACATTTTCGATTTTATTACGGTCGCAGGCGTTCATTAAACCGAAGAAAGGACAGCAGTATTCGAGGACTGGAAGAGCAAACATTTGATAAAGTCTTAGCTTCATTTCCGGAAGGAAAAAATTATGCGATATGAATCCACGTATCTGCGCGGCTTTGGCAGAGATTCTATCTGCATGAGGTGATAAAGCAAGCTTATTTGTATAACCTAGACCTAGGTCCTTTATGGTGAGGCATTCTGAGAGTGGGTTATTCTGAAAAATTATGGGACCAGAAAGTTTGGTAGGACCAAATGACATGAAACTACACTTGGATGATGAAAACTCCATCTGCGATGTCGAACCCCATCTGCGTAAGCGTAGTAAATCGGCATTAATTTTTTCAACAAAACATTTGCGGTGTCCTTAGAGTATGAGTAAACACACTTGAGGTCAGCGGCATAAGTAACAGTTTGCGAATTTCCGAGTTCAGCCGAAATATCATTGATGTACAGAAGGAAGAGTAGCGGACCCAGAACCGTTCCTTGAAGTACGCCACTCGTAATCGAGTGGGGTGTCGAGTAGCTATTACCGACCATGACTTTCTGATATCGGTTGGACAGATAAGACCTGATGAAGTCGAGTAGAGTTGGCCGGATGCCGAGAGCTTCCAATTTTACTAAAAGTCTCTATGGGGCACGTTGTCAAAGGCTTTGCTAAGATCAAAGTAAATAACTACCACTGACTGCCGCTCATTACGAAGAGAAGTGATTAGATTAAGAAAAGCCAAGTGGCATGTTTCGCAGGATCGTTCAGGAAAAAATCCATGCTGACTAGAGCTCAGAAGCCGATTAGCTAGACAGAAGTCAAGAATTTCATTGAAAATAATCCTTTCAAGAAGTTTTGCTAGAGACGGTGTTTTGTGCATGCCCCGATAGTTATTAACATCGGACCGAGATCCTGACTTGAAAACGGGAATGCTAATTGACGTTTTCCGTGTTTCAGGAAAGAATCTTTTTGAAATATAAACTTAGGATAAATGACTAAGCAATATGGGAAGGTCGGACGCTTGTTTGATAATCGAATTCGGAATCCCGTCTGTTCCAGAGCATTGTGAGTATTTCAAACGGCTTATGTGTTTCTTAATGAGATCTTAGGATACATCCATTGTACTAAGTGTCCTATCTGAAATGGATCGAAAGAAAGGGACCGCATCGGACTCGGTAGCAAGGTGTTTTGCAAAGAAAGCACTAAACAACTCCGCCTTGTCAGTGTCATCGGTGAGGAAGACTTTGTTATCATTTAGCAGGGGTGGAAGTTCGTGACCACGCTTAGAGGAGGATCGATGAAGGAAGATGTTAGCGACGGATTTGCCAGGGTTCGAACCACGGAGAGCAATTGATTCTCTTTGCCTGTCGCGCGCTTGGCGCATCCTTGAGGCCATCTCAAATATCTCTGTGATTCTAAGATGAACAGATAAGGAACGAGTGGATGGGTCACGCAGTTGTCGCCTCAACATTTTTAGTCTGTTCTGAAGAAAATGTGGAACAAGGGAATCTGAAGAATAAGGCTTGAGATATCTACGCGGCACAAACTCTAGAATGTCCTTGGAAACATTGGACATGACATCACGAAGAATGGTTACATCGCTACAAGTGGGGAAGCCACACCAATCCAAGGATCTCATATAGTTATTTATTAAGTCGCTATCTACGCAGTCGTAGTTCATGTAAGTCCGAACGGCGCTTGTCTTTTTTGAAAAGGCAAGCGGTAAGCAACAATGAATTAATACGTGGTCACTGTCAAAGAGGTCCTTTTTTAAAGCAACAGAAAGAGGAGCAATGTCATTGGTAAAGATTAGATCTAAAATGTGATTTTCTCTTGTTGGAGAGCGCACCTGTTGGGACCAATTAGAAATATTGACAATATCTTGAAAGGGCTGGAATCTGGGTGGGCAGCTATTTGAAACCCAGTCTATTTTAGGGAGGTTAGAATCCCCAGTGATCATTTTAACATCGAAAGCAGCTTCCGAAATTAATTTAAAGATTTCACAGAGTTGAGAATCATCAGTGGCTAAAGAATTTGGGGGATTGTAGATACAGCCAATAATTGCCTTTCTTTGCGGCGAAAGAATAACAGATGCAAAGC